ACACAAAGAAGCAAGAATAGACAGGCAGGCAGGCAGGCAGGCAGGCAGGCAGGCAGACAGACAGACAGACAGACAGACAGACAGACAGACAAAGCCTATTCAGAATAAGAGGCTGTGTTAGGTACCCTGGGTCATGAGGAAACCAAAGGCTATTAATAACACTAGAAAACAATAGTGAAATTTGGAGCCCTCACCAGCTTCTCACTAAGTATCTGCCAATTTTCCTATTCCAGGGAGATTCAGGTGGCCCCTTGATCTGCAAAGGTGTCTTCCATGCCATAGTCTCAGGGGGCTATAAATGCAGCATTGCCAACAAGCCTGGAATCTACACCCTATTGACTAAGAAATACCAGAGTTGGATCAAAAGCAAGCTTGCCCCATCAAGTGCAAATTGAGTTTGCAAATGGTTTTCTTGGATCTGCCAGTCACTTGCTTTATTTTCTGGGATGTGCTCAAAGATCGACTTTATCTGTAGATTTAGCTGGCTGTAGTAAGACTGTGGTACAGCTGAGACATATTTCTGTGCCTTAAAAACTCATTTTGTTTACACTGTCTAGACAGCAGCAAATAAATAAATGGCTGAATTTGAGAGAAAAAAAAAAACTCATTTGGAACCACACTCTTTTTCATGTGTATTTAATGATTTATTTTTACCATGCTAATTTTATTCTAAATAAAATGTGGAAGCCTGTCTTTGTCTTTGTGAATATCAAATAATGTCCACCCTTCTTCCATCCATACTCCTACATGAGGCAATAATGGTACATCCTCTAACTACGTTTGTATTGGGGTTTCTGCCAATTCATCTCACACTATTCGAGTGTTTTTATTTATTGGAAAACTTTTTAAGGTGTTTTTAATGTTTTAAATACTTTTTAAACAAATGTTTAATTATATGATATAAATTATAGGATTATAGTAGATACTCAAATATAATAGTTCTTGAGAATTTATTCATCCTGGAAATTGAAATTTTATACTCAATAAAAAATTATCTCCTATTTTCCTCACTCCTCACCCCCTACCAGCTACTGTTCTGCTCTAAGCCTTTATGAACTTTAGTGCTATTGTGAAAACAATAAACAGAAACTATTGTCATACGCACACAAACATTTGGGTAGTAACTATTGATTTATGTCATACTCTGTTCCAGAAAGAGTTTAATTAAATGTGTAAAATTTCTGCAATAGAACAAAACACAGAATTAAAAATAGATGGGAGAAGATTAGGGGAAAAAGTAGGAAATGAGAGCAAGAAAGAAGATGGAGTAGGGGAGGGGAGACAGGAGGGGAGGGGAGGGAGAAGGGGAGGGGAGGGGAGGGCCTGCATGGCACTCTTTTACAGTGAGCTTCTGCCTGAAAATTTGCTAGGAAGACTCACATCTGTCCTTGTGCTTTGGTCTGTGCAGAAAGAACAAGTAAAATATTACATAAATTATGGTGTCAAGGAAACAAAATTAGATTACTTGTGCAAAACTGAGGCTAGAGAGAACTTTCTTCCATGATCTTTTTAAGAATACTGTGACAATCTATACATCACTGAGGTGTCACATGAAACCCATACATTTGTGCAATTTCAGTTGCTAATAAAAATGAATATGAAATAAAATAACAAAAAATTAAGAGTATATTCTGCCATGTTTCCCATACCTCTACTAGCACTATCTAAAACCATGATATTTTTTGTAATAGATCATATTGACTTTTTGCCCCAAATTCTGGTTGAATAGACTTAAAAGTAGGCCTGAAAGTCAGAAGTATTTCAAAGCAAATCAGTTAGCCAGGCATGCTGACACATGCCTACAATCCCAGCACAGGGCAGAAGCAAAAGGAGCAAGAGTTAGAGGCCAGCCTGGACCTCAAAAAAAGACCGCATCTAAAAAATAAGAAACAAAAACAGCAGCTGATTCTAATAAATTAGAAATTCAATAAGAAACTGCTAATATTTAACCTTCATAACATCTGACAATAAAATGACAGTAAGTGCTGTGGATTTAAAAAATATGAATTCTGCATTTTAAACTAGTGATTTACAGCCAAAGTTTAGTTCCCTGGAGGACCCTTGCTGTGTTGAGTTGTCAACAGTCACTGATGAGACTTGTGACATTTCTAATTTTAATGAAGGACTTTGGTGGGAAATAAGGAGTTTTCTTGCAAGAGTGAGGGCCACTTTAACCTCATTTAGGGATGCTTGCTTCTAGGAGACAGCACCATCAAGCTCTCTCTCATGTTTAGAAACAGATGTTTTTGTTTGTTTCTATGTTTTTTTGTCATAGTCCTTGGAAATGATTAACTAGTACTACCCTGCACTGTGGAGGATGACAGGGGCTGGGAGATGGCTCAGTGAGTAGGAGCACTCACTGAGCATATGTGAGGACCTAGTACATACATAAAAAGCTAGCCATAGCCTTGTGGGCTGGAATCCCAGCACCAGTAGAGTAGAGAAAGAGGATTCCTGGGGATTACTGGCCAGCAGCCTAGTCCAGAACAAACAAAAACCAGTGAGTTGCAGATTTAATGAGAGATCCTATCTCAGGGGGGGAAAGTGGAGAGAGATAAAAGACAGTAAAGTCCTTCCCTGATCTCTGTGCTCCCATGTATATGTCCATATCTGTACACACACACACACACACACACACACACACACACACACAATACTCCAGATCCAAGAGAATAAAAAAATGAACTAACTAAAATTCTGGAACTGCTTTATTAATGAAACACAAAAGCAAGTGTCTTTAGATATTCCAGTTTGTATCATCTATATTTACCAAAAACATTGAATATAAAAAATACTGATTGTTACACACCAAACTATGTTGTATAATAAAAGGAAACACTGTAGATTTTCTGGTATCACCATTAAAATAATAATAATCTATTTCCTCTAAAACTTGAAACCATGTCATCATAAATCTATACTCAGGAAGACTGTGATTTTCCCTTAGCCACGTGACGAGAATCCTGGGATGTTGTGTTTTATTTCAGGCTCCATGCTGTTAGCATCTGCTAACAAGGTGTTAAACCAGACCAGACCAGAAAAGACAGGCTTCTTTCAAAGGCCATGACAGAGTTGACAACCCTGAAAAGGGACCAACGGTGTATTGTGACAAGTGGCTGACAATGGTGCCCACTGGTTGCTCACTGTCAAAGGCATCCTCAGCCCTTATGGGAATGAGTATTTTCCTAAACCCACCAAAGTTTTCCCCAACATAGTCTCAAATAATGCGTAGTGTTTTAACTTGGTGGGTGTGTCTTTGAACATTTACAGGATCCTTTCTATGGTCCCAAAAGGAAGCCGAGAGCTAATTCGAGGCAAATACTCTGATTTTAAAAGTGCTCAAGGATTTCAGAGGGGGAGTAGTTTGCCATAGTTGTTGGGAGCCCTTCCACTTTCTCTCCTTTTTGGGGCATGTGACTTCACCACAGATGTAGAAGATGGCCTTATTTTTGTCCACCCACCTCAGCAATGTGGACAACACTAACACTGAGTAAGTGTAAAAAGATTTGTGAAATAAACCAATACTGGATTCAGATATGCCTTGAATCCAGCCTAGGCGCAGGGAGCAGAGCCCATCCTTTCTCCCTACTCTGTGTTCACAATCTCAGCTCATTCTGAAATGACTTGGAGAACAGTGCTTATAGCTTTAGTGCTTTAAGAACTATCTAATGAAAGGAAGATCATCCTTGGTCAATCCGAACAGCTCTCTGATGGGAGATGTCCTTCTGTATCTATGTTTCTCTTGTTGGTTAATGAATAAAACACTGATTACCTGATTTGCCAGGTAGAAAGTATAGGCAAGGCTAGGAGATGAGGAGAATTCTGGGAAACATAGGCAGACAGAGTTGTCATGTAGAGCCCAGGAAGAGAGGTCTTGACAGGCATTCTCCGGTAAGCCAAGACCACATGGAAATACATAGATTAACAGAAATGTGTTAATAATTAAGACAGAGCTAGCCAATAAGAATCCCAAGCCACTAGACAACAGTTATATAATTAATATAAGTCTCCGTGTACTTATCTGAGATTGAGGTGGCTGCAGGATCAGGCTGTCGAGAAAGAATCTCTGCCTACAGCTCTCTACTGAGATTTTCACAGCTTGGTCCTGAAAACCTGACTGCAGTGGTGAGGGAATAAAGGGTAGACACATATACAGAAAAGCTGGGTCGGGTAGGCTACACACACTGTGATAGGATCACACCAATTATGCAACAACTGAGACCCTCAGATGTTTATAATGTACAGCAATAGGAGGAGGGCTTAACTGGGCTCAGTAAGAGGTCCCTGGACCAATGGAAGGTTTTGCCATCCCTCTGAGCCTCACCCTGAGAGAAGGCCTTGCCAAATTCCCTTTGGTTTGAGACATTGTTGCTTGACATGGCTGTGCCCATGTCAACAATACACATTAACTCAGGACTTTGTCCACTATATCAATTCACTCAAGATCTCCTCTGCTCCCCAAAGCTGTCCCTCTGATCCAGTTCTGACTTTGGGAAACAATATTGCTATGAAATGAATTACTCCCCACTCCAAAGTCACATTCATGGACTGATGTTCTGTCTATCACTGTATTTGGAGCTAGAGCCTCTAAGGAGATAACTGGGGTTAAAGAAGATCATAGGATAGTATCCTAATGAGAGACAAATACTCTTGTTAGAAGGACACCAGAAAGTTCATTTTCCCTCTCAATATGGAGACACAGTGGCAAGGTGGCTATATAGAATCCAGGAAGAAGGCCTTCCCCAGAAAACAAATCAATCTTGGATTTCCTAGACTCCAGAATTTGAAAAGTGAATTTTATCATTTAAAATATATCTACGTAAAAGCCACAGCTCTTATCATAAAGGGAACAAGAAATCATTCTGGAGCCTTTATGTGTGACCATAACCTAGGAACACAGATGTAAGTTACTCCAAATTCCAATGTAGATGTAGTTTCATGAAGTATTTATAGTTTTACAGAACAAATGAAGTCGTCAATCCTGCACACCCGTGACTCGTCCTGAGACTGCAGACCTCCGACTTAGGCATCGCTGCAAGATCCGGAGTACGCCCGAGGACCTCAGAAACCATGCCGAAACCACACAGCGAAGCAGGGACTGCCTTCATTCAGACCCAGCAGCTCCATGCAGCCATGGCTAATACCTTCCTGGAACATATGTGCCGCCTGGACATTGACTCCGCACCCATCACCGCCTGCAACACTGGCATCATTTGTACCATTGGTCCTGCCTCCCGGTCTGTGGAGATGCTGAAGGAGATGATCAAGTCTGGAATGAATGTGGCTCATCTGAATTTCTCTCATGGAACTAATGAGTATCACGCAGAAACTATCAAGAATGTGCCAACAGCCACAGAAAGCTTTACATCTGATCCCATCCTCTACCGGCCTGTTGCTGTGGCTCTGGACACAAAGGGACCTGAGATCAGAACTGGACTCATCAAAGGCAGCGGCACTGCAGAAGTGGAGCTGAAGAAGGGAGCCACCCTGAAGATCACCCTGGACAACGCCTACTTGGAGAAGTGTGATGAGAACATCCTGTGGCTGGACTATAAGAACATTTGTAGGGTGGTGGAGGTGGGCAGCAAGATCTACGTGGATGACAGGCTCATTTCACTGCAGGTGAAGGAGAAAGTGCTGACTACCTGGTGACAGAGGTGGAGAACGGTGGGTCCTTGGGCAGCAAGAAGGGGGTGAACCTCCCCAGAGCTGCTGTGGATCTCCCTGCTGTCAGAAAAGGACATCCAGGACTGAAGTTTGGAGTGGAGCAGGATGTAGACATGGTGTTTGCCTCTTTCATCTGCAAGGCAGCCGATGTGCATGAGGTTAGGAAGGTCCTGGGAGAGAAGTCGGCAAGAACATCAAGATCATCAGGAAAATTGAGAACCATGAAGGCGTCCGCAGGTTTGATGAGATTTTGGAGGCCAGTGATGGGATCATGGTGGCTCGTGGTGACCTGGGCATTGAGATTCCTGCAGAGAAGGTCTTCTTGGCTCAGAAGATGATGATTGGACGATGCAACCGAGCTGGTAAGCCTATCATCTGTGCTACTCAGATGCTGGAGAGCATGATCAAGAAACCTCGCCCCACCCGTGCTGAGGGCAGTGATGTGGCCAATGCAGTCCTAGATGGAGCTGATTGCATCATGCTGTCAGGAGAAACAGCCAAGGGGAACTACCGTCTGGAAGCTGTCCGCATGCAGCACCTGATTGCCCGTGAGGCAGAGGCCGCCATCTACCACTTGCAGTTATTTGAGGAGCTTCGCCATCTGGCACCTATTACCAACGACCCCACAGAAGCTGCCACCGTAGGTGCCGTGGAGACCTCTTTCAAGTGTTGCAGTGGGGCCATTATCGTCCTCACCAAATCTGGCAGGAGTGCTCACCAGGTGGCCAGGTACCGCCCATGTGCTCCCATCATTGCTGTGACTCGAAATCCCCAGACAGCTCGTCAGGCCCATCTGTACCGTGGCATCTTCCCTGTGCTGTGTAAAGATGCGGTACAGGATGCCTGGGCTGAGGATGTAGACCTCCGTGTGAATTTGGCCATGAATGTTGGCAAGGCCCGAGGCTTCTTCAAGAAGGGGGATGTGGTCATTGTGCTGACTGGGTGGCGCCCTGGCTCTGGCTTCACCAACACCATGCATGTCGTGCCTGTGCCTTGATGGCCCTCTGGAGCCCCTCTTCTAGCCCCTGCCCCATCCCCTCCCCCATCCCATCCATTAGGCCAGCAATGCTCTAGTGCTCACTCTGGGCCATACTGTGGTGCTGGTGGGCTGGGACACCCTGAAAAATTACTGCCTTTGAAACATGGACTAGAGCCCAGCTTTCTATCATATGGTCCTACCCAAGCTAGGGATGAAGGAGGAATGCAGAATTGTAAACCCTCTGCATTTATCACAAAAGGGCAGCCACATCTCTGTGTGTTTTGCTCCTGTAGAAAGTTGCCCAGAGAACTCCCAGCCCTGACCTAGAGTCAGGAGATAGCAAGAGTATAGGGGCTTAAGGATATGGGGCCCAGGTCCCTGTGTGTAGATAACCCTTGACCCTGGGCCTGATTTGCTTCCCCAACAGCTTTGGCCTCCCCCACTCCTCCTTGTGCACTCCACTCAGCTGTGGCTGCAGACACACACTCCACTCTCCACCTTCTGTTCTACTGCAGCATCTCCAGGCCTGTTGCTATAGTGCCCACCTGAATGTCAATAAACAGCAGCTGTAGCAAAAGAAAAAAAAAAGAAAAAAAAAAAAAAGAAAGTCGTCAATCAAGGCAAATTTAAAATATATTGGTATGTACACCAGAGAGGTAGGTATAATGGAATAGGGGGTAGGGAGCTATTTCATTTGCCCAGGATGCTATCTTATGGTGTTCTCAGCTCTAAGATTGGTTGAAGCCAATGTTCTGCTAAGTTAATAGATTCTAAAGGGATTTTTTTATTATTATTATCATGAGGTGTTAGCTTAGATATAGAGTGGGGCAAGGCATGGCTGTTCCAGAAGGCTAGAACTAGCCCAAGATAAGATAACTAGCCTCTGGATCCACAAAATTCTAGTCTCTCCACAGCACTGAAATCCCAACCACTCCATCAGTCTCTGTGGACACAGACTCCTTCCGGGAGATTTTTGTGCATAGCCAGATGCAGCTTCTTTTCAGGAACTTTCATTCACAGTTATCCTACCTAAAGTGGGTCTTTAAAGGGGTACAAGCTGCCCAGAGCATGCAAGGAGGGAGCAAGGGCACTGTGATCCACCTGTCTCAGGACAAAGCATCTGGATGTCTCCCAAGGTTCAAAATTTTCCAGAGTGCAAAGAGCACCAAGGGCATCCGTGTTTAAGCTTTAACACCTCGATTTCCTGTTGACAAAACCCATTTATCTGCTACTTTCTTTGCGGGCTTTCTGCTGAGTCATTTCTTATCTGCTAAGTCATTTGTTACCAATTTCTGACTGAAGCTGTATTCTTTTTTTCTTTTCCTCTCCCTTAGAACCCTATAGAGCTTCAGCAAACTGAAGCATATTCTTTAATTTTTTTATTTTAAATTACAGGTATGGGGTATGCACATGAGAGTGCCAGGTGTCAGGTCCCCTTGGAGCCAGAGTTACAGATGGTTATGAGACGCCCAACATGGGTTCTGGGAACAGAACTCAGGTTGTCTGCCATTCCTCCTGCCCCCAGAGAATAGGGAGAAGCTAGGAGAAATGGCTCACAACTATTGATATGAATACAAATGGATTTGGTCCTTTTTAAGAAAGGGGGGGGCTTTGGGTATTGAGTAGAGGGATTGATTATGACCTTTATCAAGAAGGCATGACTAGCAGGTCCATGTTGGTCCTTTATGGCTGCCTGGTTCCATCCTGCCTATGGGTTTATAACAGCCATGGAATAATCCCAGATGTCTCTTGTCTAAAATGAAACACAGTCTGAGACCCAGTTTGCCTGGTAACAATCAGTTAACTCTGTATTGGCAGACCCTGCTCGTCACTTGTAAGGTCTCCTGGGGAGGAAGGACCACATTCATTTTCTGGTTTTAACCGTACATGTCTGTGCAACAGCCTGTCAGTGTATGGTGTTTACACTGTGGCTTTTCCTTAGAACTTGGAGTGTGAGAATAAAATTGCTCTCTGAAAGTTAAATCCTGCACTCCCTTCAGCCTGTATTAGAGATAACAAAGACATTCTGAAGAGGCATGGAATTCTGGAACCTTCTATAATGTGCTCAAAGGTCATTGATTCTCATTTGTATGGAGAAGCAAAAAAAAAAAAAAAGGAGGAGGAACTAATGCAGGTTGAGGACTACAGCTCTCACCCAAGAAGGGAGTGAGGAGGGAGGACATCTCTTGATCCCTCTTTGGTTTCGCCTGGTTCCATTTCACACTCACTGGCACATTTGGTTTTGTCCGATGTAGTCTTCCCGAGTGAACATTTTCATCCCTTTGCCTGTTGTTTCTCATTGCAAATTAATGAACATTTTGTTCTTCTACCATCGTGACTTTACTCCTGAGTTAGGGGTCACTTGTGTTTCCTTTTTAAATGTTTGTTTGTTTGTAGAGAAGGGTATGCACACTACAGCGCTTATGTGGAGACAGAAGACAGTTTAGGAGAGTAGGGCCCCACCATGTGGGTCCTTAAGAATTAAGCTCAAGTTGTCAGACTTGTCAGCGAGCCATCTCACTAACCCTTGAGTTTCCTTTTGAGAGAGAAATTGATTTTTGATTTGCTAGCGGTGAAAATGGAGTCTCATTTCCTGCCATGATAAAGGTCAGGCCTTGAACTTTGATCAGTTCACTAAGATGAACATCCCCATGAAGTCTTTCAATAATAGACCAGCAGCCTGCTTGTCCTCTAACAGGTACTCCCACACACCCGCTTTGGCATCGGGATGGCGGCATTACACACAGTGCCTTGGTTCATACCCGGGTTCAGGAAGCCTTGTGGTGTTTTGCTTTGCTTTGATCTTTAGCTGTGGTCTGTCTGACTCACTCGGCAGAACATACTACCAGTTTATTATTCAACAGACATCTCTTCTGTCCTGATAACAACAACAAAATCTAATTAAATTTGAAGCCACAAATATGCACAGCCTAAAGATGGCATGTCTAGCCTCTCTTCCTGCTTGTAGCAGTCATTAAGAAGTGAATGGCTGGGAGCATAGGAAAGCCCTCTAAAGAGAGATGACTCAGCAGGAAGCAAAGGCCTTCTTTTCTTTCTCCTTCACAAGTCTTTGAATTACAGGAATGATTGATGGTCAGACCTCCAGCAATAAAGATGAACCACGAGGAAAACTTAAAGCCAAATGTTAGTGACATCAAAGCAAAGAGGAGCCTGATGACCAGTGACTGCCCCCCCACACACACACACACCATGCCTAAGGACTTCTTTCAAATAAAGTACTTAACCCACTGTTGTTTTGTAGCTGTACCATAGTAGTTCCTTGTTAGTTCTGGTTTTGTTTCCACAGTTTCATTTCACCAGGGTCAGCCATGATCTGAAACTGTTAAAACAGAAAATTCTAGAGACATGCAATTCATAAATTATAAATTAGATACCGTAACATTCTGAGGAAAGTGAGATCTTCCACAGATCCACTCCATGTGCAAGCCATGAACCCACCCTTCATCGTGCATCTCAACTCCGGATTTAACCTGCTTGTTAGTCATGAGGCAGCCATCTCCGTTATCAGACCATCACAGAAAATGATTCAATGTACAATAGTGATGACAATTTGGATATGCCAAAGATAAGCCATAGAACGTTTCCTTTAAGCAAAAAAGGGTAAACTTCTCAACTTAAAGAGGGATACACTTGTATACAAACCAGGCAATTGTAAAGAAGGTGTATTCTGTTTTGCTGATGTACAAACTGATAAACAGATAAATGCTGATAAACGATAAATGCACAGCCACAGTGCATGGTAAGTGCTTAAAGATGAAAGACACTAAATTATAGGGTTCAGTATGGTCCACAGTTTCAGGAATATGATGGGGCTCTTGAGACATCTTCCCATCCCACATAAAGGGGGAGAGACTATAGTATACATCCCACACAATCCCAATAGTAAAATCAGAACCTACAAGTTCTACCCTTGATATAAACAAGTATATAAATATATAGCCTAATGTCCAGACCCTCCCAAACCCCAAATAGCCTTCAGATTTCCACCTAACCTTAGTTAAATAAGAATTGACTCAAAAAATGATATTTAATTTTATATAATTGAAAAACCGTTCCCTCCTGACTGACAGATCTTTGCCATATCCTGCTGTGCGACAAGTATTTTTGTTTTTATAAAAATAATACATATGTGGGTCTAGAGAGATGGCTTAACAGTTAAGAACACTGGCTGTTCCTCCAGAGGACCTGAGTTCAATTCCCAACACCCAGAACCATCTGTGACTCCAGTTTCAGGTGATCTGATGCCCTCTTCTGGCCTCTTCAGGCACTGCATGCACACAGTGAATGGACATGTGCAAGCAACACAACCTATACACTAAAACAAAATTAAATGAATCCTTTTAAAAAATAACACAAGATAGTCAGGGCTCTGAAACAGTATTTTTCTCCCTTCTTCTGTATTTCACAAATGGATCTTGTAGAACTGCTTTTTGTAAAGTTCCTGTGAATAATGCTGTCTGGCATTTGAGGTTATTATCTGTTCTATTATTTCACCAACATTTGAAATGATATAGCAGTTTTTCCATTCAAACTATAATAGCAATTCCACTGGAAGATAGTTGGATGCAGCAACATCCTGAATACTAGCAGTATTGTAGAAATCAAAGCTGTCCCACCCGGGGTAAGATGACAGCACAGAGGGTAATAAGCATGTTAATGACCAATTCATGCCAATTCCAGGCTCTTCACTCTGTAGCATTTAGGGAGCGATTCTTCATTCACTGACTTAGTCATGCATTAAACAAACGTCTGTTTCTGGTCAGAAAACCGCCTTCTATGGGGGGTCACTGGAAGAGTCAAGAAGAAAAGAAAATCCCTGCCCTATTTGCAGGCGTATTTGCATAAAAATAAACACAGGCATGAAAACAAACAAATGCTGGTGCTACACTTTGGGCTTTGAATGGCCCCAAAGACCCACTTGTCAAAGGCTGTGCACTCTTGGAAGATGGTGGAAGTGCTCAAGTGGGGGGGGGAGATATAGTGGCATGTTATCGAAAAGAACTATGGGAATCTTCTTTCCTTTCCCCTCCCCTCTTCTCTCTTCTCAACTCTCCCATCCTGTCCTCTCACTCC